AGCAGTTTACTACTGAAAATCAAAATAAAAGATACTTCTTTGAAATCTTCAATAGTTTTGTAATAGATGCGTTCCTTTTCAAGCAAAGACTGGTAAGCTTCCTGCTGTCGATCCCTCAAGGCTTCTCGTTCATCTTTTTTTGAAGTAATCTGTAACTTTTCCTCCGATAAGATTTAGTTGATACGCTTGTCTTGAGTTATAGAGTCATAAGCTAGATATGTAAAAACAATAACTGCTGACTTTATCACACATAGTTTGAACGCTTCTTAAAATCTTTTGCAAATTTTCCAAGAATGACTGTTTGTAACTTTCCCTCATAGCCCTGAAAGACAAACCCTGTCAAATACAACGGTAAGACTACAACAGAAAGCAAAAGATGAAACGCGGTAACCTGTCGACTTCTCTTTTCAAATATCAAAAGCACTAACGTCTCCTGCACATCCTCGATATTATTCATCAAATCTATCTCTTTCTTCTTGAAAGACACCACATCTAATAATGTGTTGTGAAGGTTATAGAGCTGTTTTATTTCACAGTTCATTACAGCCACTGAAAAATATGACTTAGGCAGGTTATCAACGTAAAATGAAGTGTTCATACCAAATCCAAGCACGAACTTTGATTGAACAGTTCCATTATTCGCCTTTGATATTGACTAATCTCAATCTGTGATGGAACTGAATCAACCTGTCTCTGTGCCACCGCTATTTCTCTATTTAGTGCAACATCTTCACTCCTAACTTGATTTAGTTGACTCAACATGCTCTCAAGCTCTTTCCTCCGCTCATCAGTATTTTTTGCCTGAAATGAGCAGTGTTTAGCCACGCCTTTACTAAAAACCATGCCTTCCGTTGAAAAATTTTATCAGTCAAAGGTTACATGGCCACTCCTGACTTCATCGTGCAAACGCGACAGCTCCTCGTCCATTTTCTGTAGTTCGCGTTTGCAGTCTGCTTTAAACCGCGCTTCTTGACTTCTAATCTCGTCATAGGCGTCTATTAAACTCTGGTATCTTGTTACTTGACTGCAAAATTGAATTATATACAATGAGTTTACTATAAACAATAAGATGCAGATGCCAAATATGGTTCCAGAAAAAATGTCGCATTTAGTTTTAAAAACCATGCTAAGAGTACTGTGAAAAAATAAAAAAATTCAGACCTCTCTTCAAATTCTTTTTTTTTAATGCTGAATCCTTCTAAACGTTCTTCGCAGAGGTTAATTTCTTTATCAAGAGAAACATTGTCTGCTTCCACTTTGGCCAAAGCATCGTCCAGAACTCGTTCTTCTTCTTCTAACTAAGTGAAACAAAACTGAGTTCACGAGAATAAAAACAAACTTACTGAAGCCAGGATACCTGGTGCAACTGGTTTTGTGCCCTCTCCAGCTGGTTAACTGCTACCCCTTCTTCAGATAATGGTGCTTTTAAAATCTAAAAGCAAACCAGAGGTGCATCTCAAATATAATAGAGACGTAAACAATGATGAATTTCTCAACTTTATCTCACTGAAAAATACTAATTCATTTAATTTTTCGAAAAGATTTGAAATTTACTACACCTTATCGACAGACTCAGCAGCCTCTTGCAAGCCGCTGGCATCAAGTAGTTTAGCTATTTTCCTTGAAGGTACTCTATGCTTCTGCAATGGTCCATCTCCTTTCAACAACTCATCTTTTAAACGCACAGAAATCTAAATTCAACGAAATTGAATTTAAAATATTCATTCCCAGATTACAAAAAAAACTTACCACTCAAACACGTCAAACATAAACATTAAAAATCAGCAAGAAACAAGAAAAATGTTACTTCGTCTTCAACATTCTCATCACTTGCTTCGTTTTTAGGCGTTTTTGCGTCACCGCTTGCCCTAGCTTGCATAAAAGGTTTCCTAAAACAACGAAATAAACACTTTCAGTCAAATAAAACGTAATAATCTCAAAACGTACCAACCATATTCCATAAGTGTGCATTGTACATCTTCATATAACGTATTACAAGAAAAGCTTTTAGGCCTGCGGTAGATACGTTGAGGAGAAGATAACGATTTCATTTTACGATAACCCTCATCAAATTTCCTTTTTTTTGCCAATTCATCAGTGTTCTAAATTGGTACATTTTAGTACCGCAGTTACTATAAACTAATAGCCAAATTGGCGACTGAGACAGCAGCTAAATCACCAACAAATTTTTCTGCAAAATGAAACTTACTGATAAGTAAAAAATTTACTAAATATGTTATATTTTTTATAAAGTCTTATAATGACAGCATGCAAGTATCTCATACTACTATTTAAACTAGTTACTATCTTAAAACGTAGCCACATATACCTCACAAGTAGGCCAAAACATTTAAAAAAATTAAAACACGTACTGCTGAAGTGTTAGGCTTTAACAAACCTTCAAATGACCGCAGTTCTCATTGAAATAATGTACTGCAAAAGCTTTGATAGAGTCCTCCTGTCTCTCTCTTGCTTCAAGAGCCCGTTTCACTAGCCACTAAATATCGGTGCGATAAAAAACAAATTAAGGAAAATAGTCACCGTTTTTAGTCCAAAAATGATAAACAAACCCAAAAATAATCCAGACTTTAAAAACTTCCAAACGCAAAAAACCTTTGTAAATTAATCAACTCAAATACAATCCACTGTAATCAGTTCTCCCTTTAATATCGCAAGAAAATCAATAAACTGTAAGAAATCAACAAAACAGAACAAAGTGGTTACCAAACAGCTATGACGAACTTAGAGTAAAGCAGGGATCTTTGGGACTAGAAAAGGTTTTCTATTTGAATAATCGGTAACTCATTTGGATCTAAACTAAAAGGAAATTTGAAGTAATTCAAAAAAGAATAGAACGCTACTTGAACAACGGGATAAATATTGATAAAATCGAGTCCCTGTATCTGATGTGGCTCTATTGAGTGTGGACATTTTAGTTGTGGTAATACTTCTACAACCTTTTCCGTAAGTGCACTAAAAAATAGCTAAAATGATATTCGTAAATTCAGATACATTCATTACTGATTTCGGTTGGGCGTGTGTGTATAATTTTTACTAATGATCGTTTCTGAAGCACTTTTTGTGTACAAACACTGAAACTAAAGCCAAATTTAAGATCAATTATTAAAAGTTGAATTAAGACATGATGTTGTAGTACATTTTCATTGAAGTCTTAAAGCGCAGTGAGTAATTAGCAGGATGAATTTAAAACGAAATGCTTCTTCTACTTCAACTTCCAAAGCAGCAATGGTAATCAAAATCTCATAATAATAAAATTCCTCAAATGACCTTACATTTTTTGTTTAATTGAAGAACTCTCCGAATATATTAGATCCACGTCAACAGTTGTATTGCACATGGTTATGCACCACACTATTCCGCCGATAACCTAAAAATCTTTTATTGATAAAATGTTAGCAACTTTCTGTACCTTTGGGTTTATACAGCAAATTTAACTGACGCGATCGAAAGGTGGAATTGCTTTGATTCGTGCCCTGAAATATCCGGCAGCCAGCAGAAGGTCAATAGTATCTTGCATCTTAACTGCTTGCTCTTCATCTTCCCGAATATCAAACTAAAACCTCTGGATTGTTTTGTTATTAGAGAAAATTCATTAAGCAGAAAACCAAAAACAAAAATCTTCTAAAAGTGTGTAAAAAAAGATTGTGCATATGTGAAAAATTCTCTAGTCACCACAAAAATGCTTCTTGAAATGTAGTCAAATTCAAGGAAAGGAAACTCACTTCAACATTAGACATTTTTGTAAAATCCTTCACCTAAGAGTGTGTTTTAAGTTGAAAAGTCCTGATTACACACCAGTGCTTGAGCAAACGACCGATAAACTCCTACGGTTCTTTGATTCAAGCAATACTCCAACCACCGTTAGTCCAACAAGAGTCTGGGTTAAACATCTAAAAACTGGACTTTATTAGTTGAATGAAACTAATAAGCTGCCTCTACAAAGGATCGAGAAAACATTATCAGTAACCAAACGAGGTGCACTACAATTTCGACAAAACTCCACTTAAAGGGGGATGATTAGACCTGTCCGGCGACATACTACATGCCGTCACAAACATACCAGAATATAGCTTAGTTTAGAATCAACAACGCTCATGCAAAATAATGCAATGCTCAAATCTAGGTCCAAATTTTTCAGACTGCATCACTAGTTTATCAAAAACAGCCATCTGTTAGCCATATAAAATGTATAACACAGAACCCAAATCTTCATTGCATCCATTTATATCATATAAAAAAGTCAACTTTCTAAAATCTCAGATTTAGAAACAGAGAAGTAACATTTTTGTTGACAAACCACTTCCCTCTTCTGCAAGGTTATGAACATTATTTCGCAACTTTCTTGGTGCTACTTCACGGAAAAACGATAAGACCTTTAGAGATTTCTGTTCGTAAAATTATCTCCAAGATGGTAACTGTATACCTGCAAGTTTTCTAAAGCACTGCTCGTCAGAAACAGTAATGGCCCTCAGTTTGGCTGATCATGAATTAAGTATCGTTTCATCTACAAAGATTAAACTGTCCCTTTTCAGACGAAGCAGTGAAGTTTATGGTTGTTCTAAAAGAAGACTGATACTGCTTTTCGTAACAAGAAACCGTCATTTTCCGCAGTGTTTCTGTATGCGAAATCCATTTTGATTTCATTTGCGAAGCAGTAAATTAAAAGACATCAAAGTATACAAAGTGCTTACGATTTTACAGAGTTGTGCAATTTTTATACCACTTCCAAATGTTCTTAGCATTAACGTAACACTTTGATCAAACAGTGACATTAACAGATGCACTCACAAGGAAATGACAAATTTTTTTTTCTTTTTCTTTTTTTCCCAAAGAAATATCTTTGCTGCAGCGTATTAATCTTTAAATTTCTTCCATCTATGAATTCAGTCCGTATACAAGCTTATCAAAAAAAAGAATCAAAGAAAGAAATGCAATGAAGCGGAAGCCGATCCTTCAAACGATGCTATAGAACCTGCAGAGCAAAATAGTGAGAATAAACTTGTTGGGTGTTTGCCAGTTTCAGTTTAGTTCTGACGTCCCGACCCATGTTTGTTTTGAAGGAAACTATTGGCGATGAACTAACAAAAAAAAAAAGTGATGGTCGCCGATACGAAATGAGGAGTGAC